CACCCCTCTTCACTCCTCTTCTTCCCTTACTCCTTTCCCCTTTCCCTGCAGGCATAACTCTATTAGACACCATAGACGGATCATTTATGAACTTCGCCTACAGCTGGACCTTCTCCTTCTCTTCAACTGCATGTTCTCAACCCAGCATTACCTCTACTTCCCCCCTTCCGAGATGACTTTTGAGTCGACTCAAAACTCAAAAGTCATCTTTTGAGTCGACTCAAAACTCAAAAGTCATCTTTTGAGTCGACTCTAAAGTCTTCTCCTTCCCTTAATCTGCATGTTCTCAACCCTGCATTACCTCTACTTCCCCCCTTCCACGCATTACCTCTCCCCCTCCCCTCCAGGCATGACCCTACTAGACACCATAGACGGTTCATTTATGAACTTCGCGTACAGCTGGGCCTTCTCCTTCCCGCTAAGGAAGCTCTTCTTCAATATTGTCATCACCGGCTTGTCCGTTATGGTGGCGCTGCTTATAGGGGGGATAGAGCTTCTGCAGGTAAGATTGAAATGACTGTATGTATGGTTAGATCTCACACCTTATGCACAGAGTTTATGTTAAGTGCGACGGGTTTCAAGGCGCCTTAAAACTTGTCTCGCTTTATCATATGGCATAATGGCAGTGCTTATATGGTGTATCCCCTCTCAATCCATTCTTCTCTTCTCATTCACCCCCCCCCTCCCCCCTCGTTTGTCTCCTACCATGCCGTACTGTACATGCCATTCCCATTTGTCTTGTTCCATCCGTGGTGGCAGTTGGTGATTGAGAAGGCAGGTTGGGAGGGCCAGCCATGGGACTCAACAGCGGGGATGGAAGGAAGAGGGGAGGCGGCACTGTTCACACGCGCAGCACCTCATCTCATCCCATTTGTTCCCCCATCTTTTCTCTCCTGCCCTCCCTCCCCCCATCCATGCATGAGCAGCTAGTGATTGAAAAGGCAGGATGGGAGGGCCAGCCATGGGACTCGATAGCGGGGATGGATCTCAACATTCTAGGATTCGTTATAGTGGGCCTCTTTTTCCTTACATGGATGGTTGCTCTTGCCGTCTGGCACTTGATGCAATATGAGACATCACCTGATTTGTAGTACTCATGGAGTCCTGTTGCTTAAAGCCCGCAAGGGTTGCTGTTTCACCTCGGCATACCAATTGCTGTTTCACCTCGGCATCCCTAAAATTATAGAAAGGCTATTGTCGCTCTAGCAATGAATGGCATAATGGCATACCATAGTAAAAGGAACTACACTTCAACAGAATCTTGGTACACTGAATGGATATGCGGCAACATAATCTCGGTACAGGAATGGTGCGCACACGGAATGAATCTTACCAAGATGCCTGCACTGCACTGCACAGCGCCCGACAGCTATATTTCAACAGAATCGAATTCTTCTCATTGTAGGCCGGTCTCACTACGCAGACCACTGTAGGCCGTTTTGATGCGAGTAACCACTGTAGACCGTTTTGATGCGAGTAACCACTGTAGGCCGTTTTGATGCGAGTAACCACTGTAGATCGTTCTGATGCGAGTAACCACTGTAGATCGTACTGATGCGAGTAACCACTGTAGATCGTACTGATGCGAGTAACCACTATAAGTCTGAACTGTTTCGAGTCGCATCCCATGCCATGCCATTCAAGTCACGTCCATGCGGCTTTCGCAGAAAAATCATCTGTCACGCCAAGGAAGGCAGGAGAGGGAAAGGGGAAAGGACAGAGAGGATTACTCTTGAGAACTCTCAAAAGCGGCTCCAACTCATGACCATGCGGCTTTAGCAGAGAGATCATCTGCCAGGTCGAGAAGGCAGGAGAGGGAAGGCAGGAGAGGGAAGGGGGAAAGGACAGGGAGGGTTACTCTTTAGAGAAAGTGACAGAATTCTCAAAAGTGACTCCAACTCATGACCATGCAGCTTCAGCAGAGAAAGCACCTGATGGGCCAAGGAAGGACAGGAGGAACATGGGGCAGAGCAGGTGGAAGGGGGGAAGGACAGAGCAGGGTTTGAGGCGCCTCAGAAATCATGTGACAGGCCAAGGAAGGGTAGGTGGAACATGGGGCAGAGCAGGTGGAAGGGGGGAAGGACAGAGCAGGGTTTGAGGCGCCTCAGAAATTATGTGACAGGCCAAGGAAGGGTAGGTGGAACATGGGGCAGAGCAGGTGGAAGGGGGGAAGGACAGAGCAGGGTTTGAGGCGCCTCAGAAATCATGTGACAGGCCAAGGAAGGGTAGGTGGAACATGGGGCAGAGCAGGTGGAAGGGGGGAAGGACAGAGCAGGGTTTGAGGCGCCTCAGAAATCATGTGACAGGCCAAGGAAGGGTAGGTGGAACATGGGGCAGAGCAGGTGGAAGGGGGGAAGGACAGAGCAGGGTTTGAGGCGCCTCAGAAATCATGTGACAGGCCAAGGAAGGGTAGGTGGAACATGGGGCAGAGCAGGTGGAAGGGGGGAAGGACAGAGCAGGGTTTGAGGCGCCTCAGAAATCATGTGACAGGCCAAGGAAGGGTAGGTGGAACATGGGGCAGAGCAGGTGGAAGGGGGGAAGGACAGAGCAGGGTTTGAGGCGCCTCAGAAATCATGTGACAGGCCAAGGAAGGGTAGGTGGAACATGGGGCAGAGCAGGTGGAAGGGGGGAAGGACAGAGCAGGGTTTGAGGCGCCTCAGAAATCATGTGACAGGCCAAGGAAGGGTAGGTGGAACATGGGGCAGAGCAGGTGGAAGGGGGGAAGGACAGAGCAGGGTTTGAGGCGCCTCAGAAATCATGTGACAGGCCAAGGAAGGGTAGGTGGAACATGGGGCAGAGCAGGTGGAAGGGGGGAAGGACAGAGCAGGGTTTGAGGCGCCTCAGAAATCATGTGACAGGCCAAGGAAGGGTAGGTGGAACATGGGGCAGAGCAGGTGGAAGGGGGGAAGGACAGAGCAGGGTTTGAGGCGCCTCAGAAATTATGTGACAGGCCAAGGAAGGGTAGGTGGAACATGGGGCAGAGCAGGTGGAAGGGGGGAAGGACAGAGCAGGGTTTGAGGCGCCTCAGAAATCATGTGACAGGCCAAGGAAGGGTAGGTGGAACATGGGGCAGAGCAGGTGGAAGGGGGGAAGGACAGAGCAGGGTTTGAGGCGCCTCAGAAATCATGTGACAGGCCAAGGAAGGGTAGGTAGAACATGGGGCAGAGCAGGTGGAAGGGGGGAAGGACAGAGCAGGGTTTGAGGCGCCTCAGAAATCATGTGACAGGCCAAGGAAGGGTAGGTGGAACATGGGGCAGAGCAGGTGGAAGGGGGGAAGGACAGAGCAGGGTTTGAGGCGCCTCAGAAATCATGTGACAGGCCAAGGAAGGGTAGGTGGAACATGGGGCAGAGCAGGTGGAAGGGGGGAAGGACAGAGCAGGGTTTGAGGCGCCTCAGAAATCATGTGACAGGCCAAGGAAGGGTAGGTGGAACATGGGGCAGAGCAGGTGGAAGGCGGGAAGGACAGAGCAGGGTTTGAGGCGCCTCAGAAATCATGTGACAGGCCAAGGAAGGGTAGGTGGAACATGGGGCAGAGCAGGTGGAAGGGGGGAAGGACAGAGCAGGGTTTGAGGCGCCTCAGAAATCATGTGACAGGCCAAGGAAGGGTAGGTGGAACATGGGGCAGAGCAGGTGGAAGGGGGGAAGGACAGAGCAGGGTTTGAGGCGCCTCAGAAATCATGTGACAGGCCAAGGAAGGGTAGGTGGAACATGGGGCAGAGCAGGTGGAAGGGGGGAAGGACAGAGCAGGGTTTGAGGCGCCTCAGAAATCATGTGACAGGCCAAGGAAGGGTAGGTGGAACATGGGGCAGAGCAGGTGGAAGGGGGGAAGGACAGAGCAGGGTTTGAGGCGCCTCAGAAATCATGTGACAGGCCAAGGAAGGGTAGGTGGAACATGGGGCAGAGCAGGTGGAAGGGGGGAAGGACAGAGCAGGGTTTGAGGCGCCTCAGAAATCATGTGACAGGCCAAGGAAGGGTAGGTGGAACATGGGGCAGAGCAGGTGGAAGGGGGGAAGGACAGAGCAGGGTTTGAGGCGCCTCAGAAATCATGTGACAGGCCAAGGAAGGGTAGGTGGAACATGGGGCAGAGCAGGTGGAAGGGGGGAAGGACAGAGCAGGGTTTGAGGCGCCTCAGAAATCATGTGACAGGCCAAGGAAGGGTAGGTGGAACATGGGGCAGAGCAGGTGGAAGGGGGGAAGGACAGAGCAGGGTTTGAGGCGCCTCAGAAATCATGTGACAGGCCAAGGAAGGGTAGGTGGAACATGGGGCAGAGCAGGTGGAAGGGGGGAAGGACAGAGCAGGGTTTGAGGCGCCTCAGAAATTATGTGACAGGCCAAGGAAGGGTAGGTGGAACATGGGGCAGAGCAGGTGGAAGGGGGGAAGGACAGAGCAGGGTTTGAGGCGCCTCAGAAATCATGTGACAGGCCAAGGAAGGGTAGGTGGAACATGGGGCAGAGCAGGTGGAAGGGGGGAAGGACAGAGCAGGGTTTGAGGCGCCTCAGAAATCATGTGACAGGCCAAGGAAGGGTAGGTGGAACATGGGGCAGAGCAGGTGGAAGGGGGGAAGGACAGAGCAGGGTTTGAGGCGCCTCAGAAATCATGTGACAGGCCAAGGAAGGGTAGGTGGGTGGAACATGGGGCAGAGCAGGTGGAAGGGGGGAAGGACAGAGCAGGGTTTGAGGCGCCTCAGAAATCATGTGACAGGCCAAGGAAGGGTAGGAGGAACATGGGGCAGAGCAGGTGGAAGGGGGGAAGGACAGAGCAGGGTTTGAGGCGCCTCAGAAATCATGTGACAGGCCAAGGAAGGGTAGGTGGAACATGGGGCAGAGCAGGTGGAAGGGGGGAAGGACAGAGCAGGGTTTGAGGCGCCTCAGAAATCATGTGACAGGCCAAGGAAGGGTAGGTGGAACATGGGGCAGAGCAGGTGGAAGGGGGGAAGGACAGAGCAGGGTTTGAGGCGCCTCAGAAATCAACTGACGGACCAAGGAAGGACAGGAGGAACATGGGGCGGAGACGGAAGGGGGTAAGGACAGAAAGAGCGAAGGAGGACAGGAGTGGGTACAAGAGGACCCACTCAGTCAGTCACTCACTCACTCACTAACCCACGGCAGTGGTACGAGCACTCATGAGCAGCACTTGTGCCGTCCTCACGCTTTGCTGCCGCAACGGCCACAGCAGCAGCCGCCACGCGTTCGGCACGCCCCCCCCCCCCATGTAACACTACGCATGGCAAGGGCTACCAGTAACCTGGGGAGAACCAGGCTCACTCACTCACCCACAGCAGGAGTATCAGCACTCATGCATCTGGCACGGCCCCCATGTAGCACTGAACGAAACCAAGGGCTACCAGTAACCTGGGGAGAACCAGGCTCACTCACTCACCCACAGCGTTCATGAGAAGGACTTGAGCCGTCCTCACGCTTTGCGGCCACCACACCCACAGCAGCAGCCGCCACGGCCCCGACCCGCCGTGTAGCTCAACTCAACTCCAGGACCACTGACACTCCCAGGAGCACCAGATTCACCCACTCATTCACTCACTCACTCACTCACTCACTCACTCGCTCACTCACTCTCTCACTCACCCATGGCAGGAGTGTCAGCACTCACGAGCAGCACTTGCGCCGTTCTCACGCTTTGAGGCCGCCACGCCCACAGCAGCAGCAGCCGCCACGCGTCCGGCACAGCCCCGACTCGCCACCCCATCTCGCACTACTGAAGCCCAGGGTCTAGCAGGAACCAGGGAAGCACCAGACCCACCCACCCACTCACCCACTCACTCACTCACTCACTCACCCACTCACTCACCCACTCACTCACCCACTCACTCACCCACCCACCCACTCACTCACCCAATCACTCACCCACCCACCCACTCACTCACCCACCCACTCACCCACTCACTCACCCACTCACCCACCCACTCACTCACCCACTCACTCACCCACTCACTCAATCACTCACTCACCCACTCACTCAATCACTCACTCACCCACTCACTCACCCACTCACTCACCCACTCACTCACCCACTCACTCACCCACTCACTCAATCACTCACTCACCCACTCACTCAATCACTCACTCACCTACTCACTCACCCACTCACTCACCCACTCACTCAATCACTCACTCACCCACTCACTCACCCACTCACTCAATCACTCACTCACCCACTCACTCAATCACTCACTCACCCACTCACTCAATCACTCACTCACTCACCCACTCACTCACCCACTCACTCACCCACTCACTCAATCACTCACTCACCCACTCACTCACTCACTCACTCACTCACTCACTCACCCACTCACTCAATCACTCACTCACCCACTCACTCAATCACTCACTCACCCACTCACTCAATCACTCACTCACCCACTCACTCACCCACTCACTCACCCACTCACTCAATCACTCACTCACCCACTCACTCAATCACTCACTCAATCACTCACTCACTCACTCACTCACTCACTCACTCACCCACGGCAGGAGTATCAGCGTTCATCAGCAGGACTTGAGCCGTCCTCACACTCTGCGGCCGCCACGCCCACAGCAGCAGCCGCCACGCGTCCGGCACGGCCCCGACCCGCCACCCCATCTCGCACCCGTCCGAAATGCTCGGCACACACCGCACCACGCGTAACCGCGTTACCACATGCCGTAACCGCGGCGAGAGCCAGTGCATGCGCGTGGTGTTGATCCAAGCGGAGGGGGATGAGGGGAGAGAGCGGCGGAGGGAGCGGCGGAAGCGGTCGAACATGTGCAGGGCCGTGTGGTCTGGATCGGTGTGCCGAACGTACATCCAGGCTCGGAAGTACCGGGCCGAACGGACGCAGGGCCGGGAGGGAGGTTCGGTGGCGGAGGAGGAGGATGAGGAGGAGGGAGTGAAGGGCGTTAGTAGCGTGCCTTGGGGTTGGGTTGCATTGGGGTTGTCTTTTTTGCCAGGAGAAGATGATGAGGAGGAGGTGGAAGTGGAGGAGGAGGAGGAGGAGGAAGTGGAGGAGGAAGAGAGGTTCGAAGTGGAAGCGGAAGAGGAAGAGAGCAAAGGAGGGAAGAAGCATTTCTCCTCCACAACCACAGACAACCCATCAAACAGACTCGATTCCAACACCGTTTTCCCCGCCCCTCCCGTCCTCTTACTCCTGTCCCGCCCCCCTCTCGACCCCGTTCCTTCCTCCACCCCTCCCTCACTCCCCTCCATCCACCACCCGTTATCCTCCTCCCCTTTCCCCCCACCGCCCCCCATCCCCTCCCCACCTGCCCCAGAAAACACCCGCATTTCCAATTCCACCAGCAGAAACGGATGGTATAGCCTCATTAAAAAGGGTAATTCGGGGGCGCGCCTTCCTGGATGCTTCTCCCCGTGCTTCACCACTCCGTGCCGAATCATGAAGAGTTGTCCGTCCCGTAGCGACGCCGCCCGCCAAAGATCCTCCACCCGATTCACCCGCAGGCTCGGGTACTCCTCGGCTCGGCCGAACCACAGCTCCGGCTCTCCCCGAACCTCAGCCTCGGCAGCACTGCCACTAGTACCATTCCTATTGCCAGAAAGAACCACTCCCTTCCCACCGGCACCAGGGGCAGCACCAGCAGCAGCAGTAGCAGCAGTGGTGGCGGCGGTGGCAGATTTGGCATTTTCTGCCAATGCATCTGGCAGCGTTGCCAGTCGGTCCACAAACGGAATGAACCGGGCGGCAACAGCCATCCAGGGGATCGCAATCTGGCACAGCGTCCTGTCCCTGACGTGGCAGACAGCGGGCAGCGCGGGTGGCAGGGGTTGCCAGGCTGGCAGATTGCGCATCTGGAAGCGGTTGAAGCCGACCAATGAGAAGAAGGCGAGGACGAGCTGAGCCTGCTCTGATTGGCTCTTGGGAATGAGAAAACGTGCGGTAGGGGTGGCGCTGCTGCTGCTGCTGCTGCTGTCAAGGCTAGTACCCTTTCCACTTGCCTCAAGCCCCCCTTTCCCTGCACTACCCTCCTCCCCACCAGCACCAGCAGCATTGCCTGCAGCACCTGCACCGTTCACCTCCCATGCTTCGCCATCCCCTTCCTGGCCCTCTGTCGTCCACACATGGCCCCTTAAAGTCGCGTCCACGAACCCTCTACACTGCTGCCCCGTTATAATCCCCCACTTGTGCCGCAGAAACACCTGATTGGCCGAGCACACGTCGGCGCCGCTCTGCCGCGCAAAGTAGATCAAATCCCGCGCTCCCACGCTGGAAGACGGGTGGTGGTATACCACAATAGACTGCGGCACTAAGTAAGACTTGTAGTTAAAATACCGTGTGGTAAGCGCCAAATCCAAATCCTGCCGGGTGTACCCGACCCTAGGGTCGAACAGAACAGCTTCGGAAAGAAACGACTGCCGAACCAGCATGCAGTGGTCCTCCACGCCTACCGGAGATTCCCGAGGGTCCAGCAGGCTCGGATCCCTGGTGCCTGCCACGTGGACGTCTTCTATTGGCTGTGGGTAGAGCTTCCCGTCGTTGCTATAGTCGTCGAATAGCATGTCTGAGGCGAATGCTGCATGGGCTTTAAGGCCCTCTTGCTTCGCCACTGATCCACTGCCCATGCTGCCCCCCCCAGCACCACCACCACCGCTACTAGCAGCACCAGCAGCCACACCAGCAGCGCCAGCAGCAGTGGCCACACCTGCAGCAGCACCGGCACCGAGCCTACCACCCAGGTTCGTCGCACCACCATATGTCGCCGTTTTTCTCCCCCCCACCCCCGCCCCTCTGCTGAGCCCCCCTGCCCTGAGCTTCACCCCTCCGCCCCCCCCATCCCCGCCCCACTCCCAAATGAACGGCAAGAAAATCACCCCCTCAGGATGCTTCTCGGCAAATCTAAACAGATGTTGCAACCAGTTGGGTCGATACGGAAACACGTCAGAGAACACAAAGAGGGCGTACTTTGTGCGGATTAACTCTGACGATGCGTTTCGCATTAGGTACCCACTTGCATATTCATCCTCCATTTCCTTAACGAGTATTCTCCGCCCTCCCTGAACTTCCGCCCCCTTCCCCCGCCCCTTCCCCCTGCCCTTCCGCCTCCGCCTATTCCCCCCGCCACCATCCCCCCCAACAAAATCCGGATCCGCAAACCCTAATCCGCCGCCCGCTGCTCCCCCCGCGCCTGCGCCTCCGCCTCCGCCGCCCCAGCCCCCCCACATCCCCCGCGCGCCCTCCGCTTGCCTGCGCCTGACATGCGCGCGCGTGCGCGCGTCCATTGCGCCGGGGATCATGTAAATCACGGGGCAGGGGGGAGTGGTCGCGAGAATCGCGTCTAGCTGCGCGGCTGCTGTTCCGAACGAGTGCTTCGCGCTGATCACTATAGTCACATCGCGAGCCAGCCGCTCGTTTAGAGCACGGTCCACGTCAGCATTCCCCAGTAAGCCCTGGTTCCCCGAGCCAATCAGAGACGCGGGCAAGGTTCTCGCGCTGGCGGCTCCTAATAGGTCCGGATTTCCACCTTTCTCCCCCGCTCCCTCCCCTTCTCCCCCGTCATACCCTAACCGCATCAGCCTCCGCCGTTCCGCCAGGCTCTCCCCCCCGCTGCTGCTCCCCGCGCTCCCCGCTCCGGCTCCGCCCTTCCCGCCACCGATAAGGCTTCCCCTGATCCCCTGATCGGGGGAAGACCACAGCAGCTGTTGCGCGGATTCCCCCAAATCCCTCCAGCGTGATTTGCGCATCGACGCTACGAGCAGATCGTCGATCGCCGCCGCGGCTCGACTTGAATCCCCCCAAAACGCCTTCCCCGCGGTTCCCCCCGCCGATCCCCCCCCCGATCCTCCCCCGCTGCCACTGCTTCCGCGGTTGCTGCCGAACCTGATGGAGAATTCTCCTGCTGCCGAACCAAATCCCGAACCTCCTTCCTCGTTCCCCGTCGCGCCGCCATCTAATCGTATGTCGAGCACGGAATACAAGAACACACACGCGACGCCGACCGCGAGGAAGAGAAGAAGGCGGCTCGACGAGAGCGCGGAGGAGAGGAAGAGGCACATCCGGGGGAGGTAGCGTCTGGGGCGGGTTTTACTGGGGCTATGCAGCGGATGGTCTACGTGGGGGGACTGGCGGCGGTGCTGATGATGGTAGTGGAGCTTCACGCTCGGCCGGCCGTCCATCGCGGCCGTTGAATCTTGGAGAGGGTTAAATCCGACCGTCCATTGTGACGGAGGATTTGTGAGGGGAGTCAACCGAAGCCGTCCATTGCGATGGACGGAACGAAGGAGTTGGTTAACGGAGAAGCATGATTGTTAGACAGTACGCAATTCTTTTTTTTGTACAAGAAGCCTGATGGATTGTAGAGGCGCTTAAAGCAAGGGTGCACATTCCTGGGGGTGGGTTTTGGGTGTAATGTTAGTGCACACCCTCTGGCGCTTGCTGATTCGAGGGCGAATTTTGCAGGGGGTGTAAGGCTGGTGCGAGGGATTGAAACAAGGCAGGCGATGCCTACCTATTTCGGTTGAGTTTTTGGCTGGGGGAAGGGCGGAAAGGGCGGAAATCAATCGCGGAAGTGAGAAGCAAGCGGGCATGAAGTGAGTCGATCAACCAAGCGAGTGATAAACCAGCCAAGGCTTCAACACCAAAGCGTAGAAACATCACAACTCAAGTGATGGCAGCTAAGCAAGCACTTTCTAAGCGCCACAGCGACATCGCCCGCACGTAGGAGGTTCGTTCTTCCACGTGTACATGGTAGTGCCTTTCTTCGCACGTGAATGGCGTCATCGCCGCCTGCGCGTGACGTCGTCGCCTGCGCGGCGCGTCGTTTTCCTGTCCTCGCTGCCTCCTCGTCCTTTCGCCACGTCACATCCTCTACAGCCTCTCGCCTCCCCGCCTATCTCGCCTCCCCGCTGCTTCGTGTCCTGGCCGAACGACGCCTCGCCAGCTCGTCGGCGCGTCGTCGCCAGATCGTCGCTGACTCGCCGCCACGCCTCGATTGGTGCCTCATCTTCGCCGCCACATCGCCGCCCAGCCGCCTCTTCGCCGTCACACAGCCGCCCCGCTACCTCGCCTCCTCATCGCCTATACATTGCTGACCCGCTGCTAACTCTCCTCAAGATCTGCATTTAGCGAAATGCTTGCCGCCCTAGTGCTCCAGCGCCTAACTCCTTAGCTCGTCTGAAATCGCAAAACTTGCCGCCACCTGTTCCCGATCCCTACTCGCATGCCATCCGGAAAATACACCACCATGCCGTCGTGGCACGCAGATCTTCCACACCTTTCTCCATGAGCTTCCCAAGCTTAGGGGTTTCCGTAGAACTCTGTTGCCGTCCGTTTCCTCTGAACTAGTTCTACCGCGTGTCTAGTCCCTGCTATGGGCGTATCGTCCTTAGCCGCCCCACCTCCCACATCGATGTCTCGAGCTCCTCCTATGCACCCCTGCCTCTCGCGTTCAGTTCCCCATGCGCCGCCCCTACCCTCCCCTGCCTCCTTCCCCCTCACCCCGCCCTCTCTCCCCTCCCCGCCTTCCCCTCTCCCCATGCCCGTGTTCGCCACGCTCCCGCAGGTCGCGTCGTGCCTCTTTCTCGTCCGGGCCGTGCACTACCCCGCGCCGCAGGTGCACTTTCCTGGGTCTCAGGTGTTCCATACACTGCACCAGGTGGTCAAAGCATGTGCATCAGGTGCTTTACCGTGTTCCCGAGGGGGACATGCGCCTAACACGTCCTCTCCTCTCTCATCCCGTCCTCCCCTCTCTCATCCCCCCCTCCGCTCTCTCATCCCCTCCTTCCCAATACTCAGCCCCTCCTCCCATCGCTCCTCCCCTCCTTCCTTCTCTCATCCCCTCCTTCCTTCTCTCATCCCCTCCTTCCTTCTCTCATCCCCTCCTTCCTTCTCTCATCGCTCCTCCCATCTCACCATCTCTCATCCCGTCCCCCACGAGAATGGGAAGGAAGGGGAGGTCGGTGCTAGAGGGGGAAAGCGGAAAGAGAGGGAAGGTTGGGGATAGATGGTGAGGGGAGAGGGCGGAGTATGATATAAAGGGGAAGGGGAGTTAGGCAGAGACGGGAGAAAGGGAGAGAGAGGGATATGGCCAGAGTGGCGAGAGAGGGGAGTCAGGCAGCGTGCTGAATCTAGGAGAGAGGGGAAAGAGGGGAGAAAAGCGAGATGAGAGAATAGAGAGAGCAGAGCAGGCAGGGTGTGGAATACGTGCGAGAGGTGAGAAAGGGACAAGGGAGAAGGGCTGATGGGGGGCACGGGAAAATGCTTTGAGGAACGCAGAGAGGGGAGTACGGCCGAGCGAACAGTAAGAAAGAATGGGGGAAGGGATGGGATGCTGTGGCGTGTGGAGAAATGTACATATATGAAAGAGATCAAAGATGCGAAGTTATATCAGAGTGTGGCGAGAGGGAATATGACAGGGCAGAGAGTGGGGATATGACAGGGCAGAGACAGGGAATATGACAGGGCAGAGAGTGGGGATATGACAGGGCAGAGAGTGAGGATATGACAGGGCAGAGAGGGGAGACGGGAGGGGAGGGGAGATATGACGATTGATTATGCGTGGGGGTCGCTCGGAGTTATGTTGCATAGGTTCCGCGCCAGGTAAGACAGGGAATGAGACTCGTGGCGCGACGGAAGGCATCTGCGCATAAGTGCTAGGAAATAAAATGCTTCTCACCGCGACTTGGCGGCGCGGTCGTCTCGCCGCGTGCCTCTGAATATCGCGATTGGAGTGCTGGGTCACGGAGCTCTGCGCGCTCGATCGCGGCGTTGTGCGAACGCCCACCGCGTATCGTGCGGCAGCGGACGCGACGTCGTGCGGGCGCGGGAGCTGGCGATGTGCAGGCGCGGAAGCTGTGTTGTGATAGCCTGTGGGTTGCGATGCGAATGCAATCTAGACTGTTGTCCGTACATCGAGGTGATACGGAACAGGGGAGGTAGATGCGCAGCGACGGGGAAGGCGCTGTGACATCGAGGGGAGAGGCACCGCGACGGTGAGGAGAGAGGCACGGCGACGTGACAGGAGGCGATGCGACGGCGAGTGGTGTCTACGCATCCGACGGTGAGGAGAAAGGGGCGGCGAGGGCGACGGGAGTAGCGCTAAGACCGCTCAGACGCGTTGCTCACTGAGGGGCGTATGCGCTGTCCCAACGTAGGGCATGCGCTGTTTCGAGTGGCGGGAGATGCACTGGTGGCGTGTGGGGCGGGATCCTGTCAGAGCGAGTATAAGCGCAGAGAGATGGCTTCTTCCGTCCGCGTGATATAACAATATGTTTACTGATAACAATAGGTTTTAGTCTGTTTAGACGATTAGGATATCCCAGCTCTAACTACGGATCTCTCTTGCCAAGGCTAATGCGCGCTGATGGCCCAACTCTAACCAGTGTGAGGGTACTTTGCTGGTTGATCGTAGTCGAGTGAGTTGCTTGCTGGGTTTTGGTACACAAACTCCTGTGCGGTCCCTCCAAGTTCCCAACCCTGCTTTCTTCGCGCAGCACTAACAGGGGGAACACCTCGTCAATCTCCGCAGGGGTTGGCGCAAAAAATTGTCGCCTCCAACGCCCAACCACAAACCCGGTAACCAGGTGGAGGCAAGTGATAAACCTTTGCCTCCACCCCCCCCGAAGTGCACCCTTGCTTTAAGATTCAAGGCAATCGTGCTGGCTGGTGAAATCGTCTGTGGGATCGCGACACGGCCGGAGTGCCACCTGGCCGACCGCGCTGACTCTTGAAGAACGCGGGACAATACGTCAACAAGGGTTGCGATCAACAATGGCAGCCAAATTGTGTGCTGCCGCCACCTACTAATGCTTGAGCCTCCTATGATAAGTCAAATTACAAAGGTTACGATGCCACCTAATCAAGATCGGCTGAATGACGGCCCACTTTGACCCTGTGGTTACCACACGCCCCCTCCTGACCCTCGCCTTTCGCGAACGACCAAGAACAGCAGCATTATGCGAAAGGATCGGATGAATTTCGGCAGCGAATAGTCGATCTGCATTTATGCGCCACAAGCTGTCTGCACGCATTGGGTTCTGCGCGACGGTGGTGGGTGTTACCAGCTCCGTCGCACCCTCGCAGAGCCCATTGCCAGCAAACCTTGATTTTGTCCCTGGTTTCGTGGTGGGGTGGGGATTGCTGCGATGCGGCAGTGGTTTCGCAGATTCAACAGGCGAAGGACATCCACAGTAACGGAGAGTGGAAGCACCAGAACGAAGCGCAGGTGCCCTCTATACGCGGTAGAGTGAATTGGCAACACTAACAAGTGAACACTCAACCATGGTTGATCGAGCCCCTTAAAGCTCGCGTCTCATATTTACATGCGTTTAACACTTGGTTGGGAATGCACGTCCGTGATTGGTTCCGCCAGAAACGCACCCCAGCTCGTCACATATTTTGTCATTCGTCAACCAGTCACGGAACACAACCGAGTGTAAAACATAGAAAAATATGAGACGCGAGCTTTAATGTCAAAGAGCAGTCAGTAAATAAAAAAGCATGTCAATCCTAACCTCGTAGGGTGGTTTGGTTGTACATCAAGAACAAATATCATCCTACCTAATGCCTCCCCATCTTATTAATATCCTGAGCAGTCCACCCAATTATCCCAAACCCTCGAGTCGGGCTGAGGGGAGGGCTTGCGGGTGGAGTGGAGAACGGGCTACGATTGGCCTGATGCTGCTGCTGGATATGACTGCCCGCGTTGTTGCCCATGTTCGGCGGTTGATGTGCGTATGTGCCGACGTTGCCAGTGCTTGGCTGCTGATGGTGGTGGTATATGTTGGTGCCCATGCTCTGGCTGAGGGGAGGGCCGGCTTGGTTGCCTGCTGCTGCATTCATGGTCCGTCCCCGTGGCTGGCGAGTTGAGCTGGGAATGAACACACATTCACTGGGTTAGTCTATGTGAACTTGAAACTCATAGAATGTCTAGAGAGCAACCACACAGTGGCCCCAGGGGGGCTTTGCACTTGCACTCATCTTACAAACAGGCGACATGGCTTACATGGAGAGGCAAGACTCATTGGATGAGATGCTGCCATTCCTCAACTTGGACAAGTTCAAGTCCTGCTGAAACACACAAACAAACAAACATACACGCACACACACGATGAACAAACAAACGTCAATAAAATTCAGTGGTATCCACATCATTACCCCGCCATACCCTGCACCACGCCACCATCTCCCGCCACTTCCACCGATACAATCACCCTCATATTAGTCAAATTGCACCTGTTCGCTCCCTTCCTCCCCCCACGCTCACCAATAGAATGTTCCGCATACCTCGGATCGCATGCTGGAGGTGCGGCTGCAGGAGCGGCTCTGAGAGCTGCCCGTGCCGCTCACAATGCTCCCAGCCGCCGCTGCAATGGCTGCTGCAGTCGCCGCATTCATGTTCGTCTGGCTGACGTGTACCCCACTGCCCTGCATCCCACCGTTGCCAACCGCACTGAATCCCCCCATCCCCATTCCCACCGTTCCCACACCTCCTCCCATGCTGCTGCTCATGCCGTGCAGCCCGCCACCAGCACCTGCCGAACCTCCCCTGGAGGCTACCGAGCCTGCTCGGGACGCCGAGCCTGCAGCACTGGACGAACCAGCCAAGGAGGAGCCACTGGTGGTGCTGGTGGCTGGACCATTGTGCTGATTGCTATTTCCAGCAATACTACTATTTATAGCAATGCCGGCATTGTTCTGCACATGCTGCTGCTGCTGCTGCTGCTGGAAGCTCTGTCGGGCTATTTTCCCATCTGCGCCTTTGCTTGGGCCGACAAAGAAAGACTGACCAACCGCTGCAGAGCCAGCACTAGCACCAGAGCCAGCCGCAGCGCTGCCAGCAGCACTGCTGCGTGTGGGGGTGGTGGGGCGTGACCCTCCTCGTGCTGCTGCTGACCCCACCACTGCCTGCCCTGCTGCTGCTGCTGACGGCGTTGCTGGCACTGCTGCTGCATTGCTCTTCCCAGCGGACGCACCAGCAGCAGCAGCGCGTTTCTGTCTCCTGAGCGCCTGCTGCTGCAGCTGGTGTTGCTTGAGTTGCTGGTAGAACTGCTGCTGCAGGTAGTGCGGACTCTTCTTCATCTGCGCTTCCATGTGCGCCTGCAGCCGCTCCTGCGCCCCCACCTCCCCCTCCCCCTCCTCCTTCTCCCTCTCCTTCTCCTTCTCCTGTTGGGACTTCACCGCCCCTTGACCCTGTGCCTTTGCCACCGCCCCCTGCCCCTGTGTTTTCTGCGCCCCCGCCTGCCCCTGCGCCTGCTTCACGGCTGTGCTTTTGACAGCAGCAGCGGGGCTCTTGAGGCTGCCTGGCCGCTGCACCAGCACCTGGCTGGGTCTGCCTTGCCCTGCCTTCTGACCTGCCTTCACCTGCAGCTGCTGCCCTGGCTTCCTGTGCTGCTGCTGCTGCTGCAGCTGCTGTGAGCGTGGGGATTTCAGCTGCTGCTGTTGCGCCCGGGGGGATTTGAGCTGCTGCTGCTGCTGCTGCCATTGAATGACGTGGCGGATGGGGATTGGCTTGGGGGAGGTGGCGGCGGGAGAGATGGGGCTCATGGGGGAGGATGGGGAGGGGCGGGTGGGGGAGAGCGGGGAGAGAGGGGAGAGGGGGGTGCCACGGGACCCAATTCCCCTGGTCGGGGAGAGACGAGGAGTGGTTGGATTGGAGGAGTGAGAAGCAGGAGCAGCTTCACCCGCACCACCACCACCAGCAGCAGCAGCTGCACCAGCAGAATCGGAAGCACCGCCAGCAGTAGCAGCGCCAGGCATGGCCACATGCGGAGGGGGAAGCATCTCCCCCGACATCTGCAGGGGGGTTCGCCCAGACCCGCCTGCTTCGGAACTAAGTGTACCAGCAGCAGCAGCAGCGGGCGAGGACGGGCGGCGCAGGGGATTACCATTACCATGCAGAGAGGAATGCGAGGGATACGAGGGATGCGGAGCACCCGGGGAGGGGAGCGAGGGCAGGAGGTGGAGGGAGTTATGCACGGACGCGCAGGGGGAGGGGATGGCGGAGGAGAGCAGCGCGCTAGACCGCTCCTCTGAGATAGCGTCTAGAGCCATGCCGGGTGGTAACCGGCCTGTAACCGCTGCGTAGTTGAGAGCACGGATGATTGGATCAATCTTGCTGGGCGAGGAGGAGGAGGAGGGGGGTGCGCCGTTGTTGCCGCCGTTGCTGCCACCGTTGCTGCCACCACGCCAGGTGTTGGGAGTGTTGGGAGTGCCCGGGGTGTTTGGTGTGTTTGGGGAACCGCAGTTACTGTTTGGGCTGCCGCTGCTCCCGGTTCTCCGAGGGCTGTTGAAGGCGTTTGGGGCGGTTCTGGGGCTGGCCAAGGGGCTGACAGGGGTGGAGAACGGTGCTCTGCTGTGGGGTCCGATGGGGGAGGTGGTTCCGTTGGTGGGTCGGAGTATGGGGCTGGTGGGTTTGAGCAGCGTGGCGGGGTCGAAGGAGGATGGGATGGGCAGAGGGGGAGGGCTGCTGCGCCCATTCCACCAGTGTGAAGAGTTCCCTGCGCCCACAGCTGCTGCTGCTGCTGCAGCTGATCCCGCTGCTGATGCTGACGCTGATGCTGCAGCTCCTGCAGGGCCTGCCTCCTTGGGTCTTCCTGTCTTTCCCAGAATGCCTCCACCATGCCCGCCGTAAGCCGAAGCTACAGCAGCACTAGCAGCACTAGCAGCACTTCCAATCTTTGCATGCGCAAACACTTCCCCTCTGTCTCTCCCACTGCCATCCTCGCTCTCCTCCCTCACCTCCTTCCTCTTACCACCACCTCCGCTACTATCACACGAAACCTCTCTCCGATGCCCCCCTCCTTGCATGCTCTCTACCCCGCAGCCATCATGGCTCCATTCCCCCCTTCCCCTTCCCCTCCCCGCTCCCCCACCGTCCACACCCTCACTCAGATTCTCCCAAGGCTCTGCGCTTTGCTTCTGCCAGCCGTCAATGCCAACAGCACCATCTGACATGGTCCTTGCAGGGCCCTTTTTCCCTGCACCCGCGCCCAGGGAAAGCTCTTGCTGCTGCTGGTGATGATGATGATTCCGTGTGGTACCGCTGCTGCCGGTAATGCTCTTTTTAGCCCTCTGAAACAGCCTCTGGAACATACTCTGCTTGCTGTGCTGCTGCTGCTGCTCGTGCTGCTCATGCTTGTGCTTGTTGCGGGTGTGACTGTGGCCGCCCTCGTTAAATTCACCATGGCTGTAGAAGTGCCTGTGGCCACTGCTGTCGTTCTCGGTCGTTTCACCTCCGTTATAGTCACAGGCGCCGCCTAGAGTCACCAGCATTGCGTCACCCACGTCAGCAGACACGGACCGGCGAAGCCTGCTGCTGCCCATGCCAGCATGCTCTTGCGCGTACTCGGTTTGGCGCTGCTGCTGCGGGTGCCATTCCTGCTGCCGTTCCTGCTGCCATTCCAGCTGCTCCTGCTGCTGCTGCTGCTGCTGCTGCTGTTGCCGCTGCTGCAGTTGCAGCCCATGTGGCTCTGCTTCCCCGCGCCTCTCCCTCTCCACCACCTCCCCACTCTTCCCCCTCAACACGTTCTGCCGCTGAAGCGACGGACCCTCACCTTCCCCGTCCCCTTCCGCCGCATGGCCGCGAGATGCCTCCACCGCAGCGGCGAGCGGCGTTGCGCTGGGGTTCCGCCTTCCCCCCAGACTAGCGCTGCGACACAGGGACTCCCGCGATCCCCGCACATCCGCCCCCTCTTCTCCGCCTTCCCCGCCTTCCCCGCTTCCTCCGCCTGCAGCCGCCTGGCAGCTGCTTCCGAACGACGCCGATCGGCGCAACGCGCCCCCTCCTCCGCCGCCCCCCTTCACGCCCTCCATCTCAATTTCCTCATCGATATCATCGCCAAAGATATTATCCCCCGTCTCCACCGTCTCCGCGCGCCTCATGGGTAGATTACCCTCTTCATTCTCCTCCTCCGCTTCTCCTTCCGCTGCCCCTCCCCCGCCTGTTCCAGCGCTCCGCCTTCCGCCGCCGCCGCCGCTGCTGCTGCTGCCGGCACTGCGGTCGCTGCGCTGCCGTGCGAGGGGCACGGAGGGGCCGTCGTCGTCTCGGAGCTCAGTGAACGTGTCGTCAACCTCCCCCTCCCCTTCCTCCCCCTCTCCCTCCTCGCCCTTCTCCTCCTCCCCCTCCTCCCCCTTCTCCGCCACCGGCGCCTCGCACTCTTCCTCCTCCTCCTCTTCCTTCCCTTGCTTTGGCTGTACCTCCGTCTTTTCGCCCCTCTCCGCGCACCCTTCCTCTTCCGCGCGCTCTCCGTCTTGCTGCTGCTTCTCCTCTTCCTCCTCCGCCTCACTGTGTTTCTTGCCACGCGTCACATCCTCATTGGCAGCAACGCCTGCCGCCGGACTCCCTAAACCAGACCCCGCAGATTTATTCGAACCTGCCCGCCCTCTCAGGGCCGTTCCAGAGCTTCCCGGGCTGCCCGAAGGAAAATCCAGCGGACGCCGGGACATGGGGCTAGTCGAGGTCTCTCGGGCCGTTTGGGGAGATCTTGGCGTTCCTAATACACCGATACGCTCGTTCCTATCGAGAGTACCGCCTACACCAGCCCTGTGCTTATCCGAGACGCTCCTGGAAAGTCGTCCCCTCGTCACGCTGTTTCCGCCACTTGGGGAAGCAGCGCGAGGAGAAGACGCGCGGAAGGAGGTCGTGCGGGGGACGGTACCTCTGCTGCTGTTCCCCCCAGGGGAAGCAGCGCGCGGAGAAGCAGCGCGGGGAGAGGCGGCAGCGCGGTTGGTGCCGGAAGAAGAGCCAAAACCTGCTCCGCTACTGCTGCTCCGCCGCAACACTGGACTTCCGCTGCGCCCCCTTGCCGCGCCTGCCGCCTTCCCTCCACTCCCCGCGCTGCTGGCGCGCGCAAGAGCACCAGCGGCACAGGCGGCAGCGGCGGCAGCAACAGCAGTCTTGGTCTTATCACCAGACGCAGTACCAGCGGTTTTGACTGCACAGGCGGACGGGGACGCGGCGGTGTCTCTCCTTGCGCCTGTCTCTCTCTTCTCTCTCGCTTCCACCAGCGCTATCAGCTGTTCTATCTCCCCATCCCCTCCTTCTTCACTCCCCTTCTTTCCAGCTTGCCTCTCGTGCTTCTCATTCTTCTCTTCCTTTCCGTCCCTCCTTCCTTCGTCCTCATCAGACGCGTTGGCCTCCATGCTTCCCTCCCCGGACTCGCCTCCGCTTTCCTCCGCTTCCCCCTCTTCCCCCTCCACCTCTTCCCCCTCACGTCCACCCACGCTTCCCACTCTTCCCCATGATCTTCCGCTTCCCCATGACCTTCCGCCAACGCTCTTCTCCCCCGCAATCTCCGCTCCACCTCCGCCTTCCGCCGTCCCCGAAGTCCCCAGCCCGCTCTGGCTCTTTAGATCCTCGCCGTTCATTGAATCCCACGGCAACGGGATGCCCTTGATTGGCGGCGGCCGTTTCTTATCCAGGCTCGGCCGACCCTGGTAGACCGGAGGCCGGCTCGGCGTCGTAGGCTCGGCAGTCACGAGCTGCTCCATCTTGATCGTTTTCGCGACGCCGTTCGCGTCCGTTACAGTCAGCCCCGTTACAATCATGTTGCCCGCGCGTAGCTTCGCGTTCGGGCTGACACCAGGCCCGACAGGCGAATTCCCCGCAGCGCCGTCATTCGCGCTTCGAGGAGCAACCAACGAACCCCGACCCGACTGCAGGTGGTTCGGCAGAGGTCCGGAGAGAGGGCGAGAGAGGGAGAGTAGGAGCGAGAGCGGAGTGCCCGAGGAGCGTCTTAATCCGTCTTCGTCGTCTCCTAACTGCAGCACGCCGAACTCACTGGCGTTAATGCTGTGACGCGGCGAGGAGAGAGTGTGCACCCACTGCTCGCCACTCACCCACACCGGGTTACCACCACCACTCGCCTTCGCTCCGGTACCCTCGCCTTCGCCGTTGTTCGCTACGTACGCGGCGGCCATGTGACGGGCGTAGGCCGACACCCCCTCGGCACGACCGAGGGAGACGGATCTTCTGAGGTTCGCGCCGCCCCCGCCACCGCCGCCGCCGCCGCCGTTGCCGCCGTCTGGGCACGGGCTGTCGGCGGCGGGCTCGATGAACGAAGCGCGGATGGACTGCGCGAGGAGCGCCGGCGCAACCGGGTCCGCCGCGCGGGGAGAGCGCGGCGGGATGATTTTCAGATCGTGGTTGCTGCTGCGGAGGTGCTTCACTTCGTTGCGCAGTCGCCGCCCTTCTTCCTCTTCCTCCTGCAGCCGTCTCTTCAATTCTGCCACCTCATTGGCCAGCTCCTCCACGTGGCCCCACACCACCGAGCCGCTGCTGCTCCCGCCGCCGCCGCCGGCCGCGGGACCATCTTTCGGGTCGTTCTTGACACCCGAAGAACCTGCCTGAGCTTCCTTCTCGTTCGTGCTGCAGCAAGAGGCAACGGAAGATCCGGCGGGAATTGCGGCCATGGGGCCGAGGCCCCAGATCGGGTCGGCGTTTTCGTCGTCTTCGTCGTCGAAGTTGAGATGACGTGGATGGTGGTGGCGCTGACGTGGATCGTTGTGGTCGCAGCAGTGGTGGTGGGGCGAGTAGTGTTCGGGCGACGGGAGGTGGCAGCAGTCGTTGTTGCGGTCCTGCCCGTTGTCGTTAATGTTGTTCGCGAAGAGTTCGCGATGGCGATCCCCTTTCACGATGTTCCAGCGACCGCGCATTGGCGACTTGTGACGCGGAGAAACAACATCCTGTGCAACGCGGGAGACGAAACACGCGTAACGTAGACAATACAGCAGATAAATATATTACGCACACAAGGTTGGGTTAGTCCTAGAGTGGAATAGCAAGTCTGTACGTATTAAGAGGCCTACTTTCCGTCCAAAGGGCAAGCGGGAAAATGCCCAGCTAGGAATAACGGAAGCGTGGGGAAAGGGGGGGTCGAGGACAAGGAGATGAGTGAGGGAGTTGACTGAAGAAAATCCTGAAGAAACACCGTTGAATCAGATCGTATAGCAGCTCCTTTCCACAACAATCAAGTGAATTCCGCTGATTCTAAAGCTTTTTCGAATTCGAATGCTCTCACATCTCTTCGAGTCGGGTTGCAGGGCGTTCGACTCATAATCAACAGGTTTTTAAGAAGTGGTGTCACAAAGTCTCACCCGGTTCGTCGACTTGGGCTGCAGAGCGCCAGCCATGGGGCTGCTCTTCCTGCCGCCGAAGTCCATGGCTTCATTTTCTACCGGCAGACTCCCGCCGAAACACGCCAAGAGCCGCTTCCCGGACTTCGGAGTCCGGTTTTCTTTTCTTCTGCTGGACGGTTCCTTTCTCCCGCCTAGCGGGCTAAGATTGCCCACTGGGCTCCACATGGTGGCTCGATTGATTGCTACGCACAAAGAGGCTTGTGCACGGTGACACTAAGTATCAACGACTGTGTTCTAAGGTGGAACGGGATGGGATGTGGCTGGATTTGAGCGCAACGCACGGTTGCATGTCGTGCTGGGTCTGGTATACTCCCAGCACCAGAAGAGTTTTCTTTTTTGCGCGAAGAACAGAACTCGACTACGGTGATAGGAATCTCAGAATGGAACAACTCAGTTTTGTCAATGGTAGTGGCTTCCAGCTGTGGATTCGTAGCGAATGCAGAGAAACATCTGACGTCGCGACTACTACTTGCTAAGTTCTGCCTCCTGGACACATCAACAGATCACCAAGAAACTCTTAGCTCAAAACAAGGACATCTGGGTGGCAAGGAGAGTCAAGCGAGCGAGCTCCCGGTTTTGGGAGTTCCCTGAGGTTCGAGCTTCGCCTGGCCGTTGCGCGGTTTTCGTTCCTCACTGAGGTTAGTTCGATTCGAATTTCGAGCCCCACTTGTAGCTGTCTTCCCGAGGCGGCACTTCCTTGGAGTGACGAAAATATGGGAAATGATGATGCGATCTCGGTTCAGTGCCTTTTTATGAGTTTCAGTACATTTCAGAGGTCTTTATATGACACCAGAGAAAGCTCGGGTATGGTTGCGAGGGAAACTTATGTTTTTTACATGGCGGGGAGACCTTGGGATTTGGCGGTTGGGATCATTTGCATTGCAATTGAAAATACATGAGGCCCAATGGCGAATGTCGATGAGTTGGTTGTACCTTGATGATTCTGGCGGGAGTTCAATCAAATTTGAAATGTTGGCGGGTTCGATGAGCACCAGTGACCGTTTTACTTTTCAGGTCAAGAACTGCTGGTATGGGTTCGAGCCAACTGATTCCCGCGATGGTGTTCCTCGACAAGGGAACATGTACACACAAAGTGTCAGCTCTTTCATCCTGGAGTTCCGAAAGTGTTTGAGTGGTCGAACAAAATTATCCTGGAACATTTACGAAACAAAAAGCTAAAGCTTACTCGCGGATCCGCTGGACTGATTTCTACGATCAAGTGTTACCGTGTGAACCCTTCAGGCGAACTGGAAAAATCTTCGGTGCAAGGAAACGCACAAAAACTGCCAGGAGTATTCTACAACCCCCAAAAAATGTTTTGAACCAGCTGTAACCCATTGGTTTCCAAATCTCGAGCTTGGATTGAAACCTCCCTTCCCCAATGCATGCTGCTGACGTCCGCAAAACCCTGCTCAATTGACGAAACCCAGCTGTAGACGCAGCGAAACTTCCAGTTTTCATTGGCGAAACCTCCCAGCGGTTTATTCAGCGAATCACGAGCGGCGGGCGGTTTTACAGCACAAGCCATGGGCTGTGGCCAGCACGGACCGTCCCATTTAGCTGGGGATTTATGGCGGACCATCCGCCATTGCATGCCACGTGTACGAAGATTTATGTTCGCGTCCAGTAGTCGTGCAGGTCCGCTGCGACTTTACGGCAACTACTTTCAGGAAGCGCTGCCTTTTAGCAGCGAATGCATAGCCCAGCAATGGCTTCACGTATGTACGGATGTACAAATAGTTTCTGACCCATCAGATGTAGTTTGTAGGAATCGCGTGGCTCCATGTATATTAGACTCTGGCGTTGAATGCGGTACACGTGTGACGCCCCTCATTCCAAGTTCGCCTGCCTCCCGCCTTGTTTCCTGCTTTAGGGCTCTCACATGATCAAGTCGCTGATCCTTGGCTTTCCCTTTCAGAGGTGGCGTGAATCCGCTACTTCGTACGATAGTCGTGTTCATCTCAGAGTAGATCCTTCAGACTCCCATATGTTGGAGTTGCTTTTGAGGATTCTCTGAACTAACTCAGAGGTTGCGTGAATCCGCTACTTCGTACGATACTCGCGTTCATCACAGAGTAGATCTTTCAGACTCCCAGCAAACTCAACTCTCGAGCGGCAACCGTCGTAGCCGCAACCGTCAGAGCCGTGATTAGTAGTGTGATGCGTGATCAGTTAACCCTGAATGATATGTGAGGAGTGCGAGTCGTGATTGGTGAACCCTGATCAATGATCAGTGAGAAGTGTGATCAGTGATGAGCCATCACCCAGATTCCATCGTTAGCCAGTCTCGTGGAAGCCATTCGTAACTGCCTCTCACCAGCGCCTTACCATCTCGATCGACGGCTGCGATCGCATCTCCTTGGTCACGCAGCCATGATCAACGGCGGAAATGTGTACCGTGTGTTCTGCGCCATCGTGCCGCTGTACGTGGGCATCGGATCGGGCTTCCTGTCCGTGCGCGTCTTCAAGATCCTCTCGCCCGATCAGTGCGCGGGAATCAACCGTTACATCGCCTTCATCGCGCTCCCCTCGCTCGTCTTCCAGGTGCGCGCTCGAGTCCCTCGTGTCCGTGCGTGCTCCCGTCGCGTATCAATACTCTACTCTCGTGAGATGGGATGGGACGACTTTGTGGCACCTTGAAAGTCTCTCATTGGACCCGTGGTGGTCTCTGCCCTGCTCCCTCGCCGAATCTCTTCCTGCTTCCTGCTGTTATCCGACTTCCCTCCTGCATGCACCTTTCCCTGCTCTCAAAACCCCATCCTGCCCCCCCCCCCCCCGCAGACCATAGCCAAGACGGACATGTTCAGGATGAACTTCCAGTTTCTGGGCGCCGACTCCACAGCCAAGCTCTTCGTGCTGGCGGTGGTGCTGCTCTTCCTGACGCTGATATTCCACCCCTGGCATCGTTCTCAACCCCCTTTCACCCCTTGCCCCTCACACCAGACCATAGCGAAGACGGACATGTTCAGGATGAACTTCCAGTTCCTGGGCGCCGACTCCACGGCCAAGCTCTTCATTCTGGTAGTCGTGGTGTTGTTCCTGCTGCTGCGAGTGGCGGCCAAGCAACTCGCCGTGCACAGGGCCTTCCTCTGGTCCGCATCCCTCTTCATGCTCGTCTCCATGCCCAACACCCTCATCATCGGTGCGTGCTCGGTTTTACATGTTCCCATCCATGCTCAAATTCCCCTTGCAGTGCTTGCTTCCAAATGAAGGCTCCATCGTTCCTTCTTTTCCTCCCCATCCTTATCCCTCACTCCCCCGCTCTTCATGCTCATCTCCATGCCCAACACCCTCATCATTAATCCGTTGCCCTTGCTCGCCTGCTGTGCCCAACACCCTCATCATTAATCCGTTGCCCTTGCTCGCCTGCAGAAGCAGAAACAGAAGCAGTGTAAACCCTTCTTTCTCGTGCCCCCTACACGTTCCCCTTTCTCCTCCTTCGCCTCACAGGAGTACCACTGCTGTCAGCCATGTTCAAGGACGAGGCTGGGGGCCTCATGATGGCACAACAGGGTGTGGAGCGGAAGTGTGCTGCGGCTGTGGCCACAAACTGCCTCTTCCTCATGCTCCCCGCATGCCCCCACATGCTCTACGCATGTTCCCTTCCCTTTCCTCCCCACACACACGAGTACCATTGCTGTCAGCCATGTATGGGGAAGAGGCCGGGGACCTCATGGCACAGATAGTGGTTCTGCAGGTGAGTCCCCGACTGCCGGAACCTCAACTTGTTGAATTGTTAGGGTTTCAGGCGTTTTAGGAATAGGCCGTACGCGACCCTCTCGAATGGTCCCTCTCTCCATCTCTCACCATCCCCCATATGCCTGGGCTCGCCACATCATTGCGGGCCGCCATGTTGACGCCTCTCTCTTCATGTACATCCTTCCCCCATCCCCACGCCCGTTTCCCACCAATCCCAGTCCGCCATCTGGATGCCGCTCACCATCTTCCTCCTCTCCTGCCAGCAAGCCACCTCCCTCAGCAGCACTCGCCGCGTGCACGACGAGGCGGTCCCTTCCCATGCTGCTTCTGACAGCACCCATGATGCTGGCAGTGGCAACACTGGCGGCTCCAGCACTGGCAGTGGCGGCAACCGCAGGGCAGGCACTGCTGCGGGAGCAGAAGCTGCGGGTGCTGCCGCCACTGGTGCTGGCTCGCACGGCCAGGCCAGTGCTGGTGCTGGCTCGCACGGCCAGGGACAGCAGCAGCAGCAGCAGCAGCAGCGGCGCATGACTCGCCTGGAGAGCATGCTGCTGCGCAGCTCCTCGTTCAATGGCAGCTGGTTCAACAGCCGCGGCTTCAATACAGTCACGCACGCAAGCTCCGCTAGTGACAGATCCGTTAGTGACAGATCCGTTAGTGACAGATCCGCTAGTGACAGATCCGTCAGTGACAGATCCGTCAGTGACAGATCTGTTAGCGGTAGAAGCACCGTGGTGAGTTTCAGTGCGACAAGGTACACTTATGGTGTGGATGGTACCGAATCAGAGGATTCGATGGGAACACCGTTAGAGGCAGACCAAGTGGTTAGCAGGCCTACAGGCCCGAATTGTGAGGCGGTTCAAGCGGCCAGGGGGATAACAGAGCGTCAGACAGATGGGAGCAAGGCTGTGGAGAAGCAGCAGGGGATGGTGGGGCTTCAGAAGAGGGGGGGGGTCGTAGGGGTTGAGGGGGGTGAGGGCGGTGAGGATAGGGTGTGGGTGTGCATTGAGGTAGCGGAATGTGAGACAGCAGATGCAGCCCAGGTGGCTGCAGGTGCAGGGCCAGGGGCAGGGGCAGCAGCGAGTGCTTTAGAGGGCCACAGCAGCACAAGTGCGACAATCTGCCAGTTTCGAGACGAGGGGGACACGAGAGGGGGGGTGGCAGGGGCAGGGGCAGCACTGAGTGCTTCAGAGGGCCACAGCAGCTCAAGCGAGACGAATTTCCGGTTTCGGGACGAAGGGGATAGGAGAGGGGGAGTGGGAGCGGTGGGAAGGGCGAGCAGCCTTGGTCGATGCCCGTCGATATCTGAGAACGCTCCTTTTGAAGAGCCCTTGCAGCGAGGAGGTGATGCAGAGGCGGATACAAGCATTGGGAATGGGGTGGCTGGTTACATAGTTACATGTTCAGCAGCGAAGGAGGAGCACAGTGAAGGGTCTCGCGAGCAACAGCAGCAGCAGCAGCAGAAGCAGCAGCAGGAGGAGGTAGAGCTGCAAGGGCGAGTACCAGAGATGCCATCGGTAGGGACAGACGCCCCACTGGCTTGCTGTAAAGAGATGGAGGCTGAGAAGCAGGGTACTGGGGAGAGCAGAAAAGGGTGGTGGAGGAGGTGGAGGAAGGGGAAGAGGAAAGGGAAGGGGAAGGGGAGGAGGAGTAGGGTGGTGGCGGTGCTGTGGGTGGTGTGGGCAAAGCTGGTGAGGAACCCCAACAACTACGCTGCCCTCATAGGGGTTATCTATTCCCTCGTGTCCAACGCGTGAGTTGCTGCCTCCCCCCTGTCCAGCCCGTGAGTCGCTTTTGGAAGTTGATGTGAAGTTCGTGTGTTCTGAGGGAAGCTGGTGAGGAATCTTAACATCTATGCGCGCGGCTCTCATTGGGGTTGTCTACTCGCTCGTGCGCGCGCGGCTCTCATTGGGGTTGTCTACTCGCTCGTGCGCGCGCGGCTCTCATTGGGGTTGTCTACTCGCTCGTGCGCGCGCGGCTCTCATTGGGGTTGTCTACTCGCTCGTGCGCGCGCGGCTCTCATTGGGGTTGTCTACTCGCTCGTGCGCGCGCGGCTCTCATTGGGGTTGTCTACTCGCTCGTGCGCGCGCGGCTCTCATTGGGGTTGTCTACTCATTGGGGTTGTCTACTCGCTCGTGCGCGCGCGGCTCTCATTGGGGTTGTCTACTCGCTCGTGCGCGCGCGGCTCTCATTGGGGTTGTCTACTCGCTCGTGCGCGCGCGGCTCTCATTGGGGTTGTCTACTCGCTCGTGCGCGCGCGGCTCTCATTGGGGTTGTCTACTCGCTCGTGCGCGCGCGGCTCTCATTGGGGTTGTCTACTCGCTCGTGCGCGCGCGGCTCTCATTGGGGTTGTCTACTCGCTCGTGCGCGCGCGGCTCTCATTGGGGTTGTCTACTCGCTCGTGCGCGCGCGGCTCTCATTGGGGTTGTCTACTCGCTCGTGCGCGCGCGGCTCTCATTGGGGTTGTCTACTCGCTCGTGCGCGCGCGGCTCTCATTGGGGTTGTCTACTCGCTCGTGCGCGCGCGGCTCTCATTGGGGTTGTCTACTCGCTCGTGCGCGCGCGGCTCTCATTGGGGTTGTCTACTCGCTCGTGCGCGCGCGGCTCTCATTGGGGTTGTCTACTCGCTCGTGCGCGCGCGGCTCTCATTGGGGTTGTCTACTCGCTCGTGCGCGCGCGGCTCTCATTGGGGTTGTCTACTCGCTCGTGCGCGCGCGGCTCTCATTGGGGTTGTCTACTCGCTCGTGCGCGCGCGGCTCTCATTGGGGTTGTCTACTCGCTCGTGCGCGCGCGGCTCTCATTGGGGTTGTCTACTCGCTCGTGCGCGCGCGGCTCTCATTGGGGTTGTCTACTCGCTCGTGTCGAACGTGTGAGTAAGTTGTTGCGTGTGTTGCGTCTGCAGCGATTGCCTCAGTAATTGGCCAAGGGTAGTGTATTTAGCTTTTTGTGTAGTTGTGTGTATCCCTTCCCCTTTTCCCTCCTCCCCTATCTCCAGCTGTGGATTCGGCTACCCAGAGATGCTGCGCACGTCAGTAAAGATCATCGCTGATACAGTGTGTGCCTGCCTCCCCTTCCTCCCCTTCCCCTCCATGTCCTAACCTCTCTTCCCCTCTCTCTTCCCCAGCTGTGGATTCGGCTACCCAGAGATGCTGCGCACGTCAGTAAAGATCATTGCCGACACGGGTCTGGGCATGTCCATGTTCAGTCTCGGTGAGTGCCACTGTAGCTTCTCATGCTCAGCACGATTGGCCTCACAGTCCCCTCACAGTCCCCTCACACTCCCCTCACAGTCCCCTCACACTCGCCTCACACTCCCCTCAAGATCATTGCCGACACGGGTCTTGGCATGTCCATGTTCAGAGTGGGTGAGTGCCAGCTCAGAGTGGGTGAGTGCCAGCTCAGAGTGGGTGAGTGCCAGCTCAGAGTGGGTGAGTGCCAGCTCAGAGTGGGTGAGTGCCAGCTCAGAGTGGGTGAGTGCCAGCTCAGAGTGGGTGAGTGCCAGCTCAGAGTGGGTGATTGCCAGCTCAGAGTGGGTGAGTGCCAGCTCAGAGTGGTGAGTGCCAGCTCAGAGTGGGTGAGTGCCAGCTCAGAGTGGGTGAGTGCCAGCTCAGAGTGGGTGAGTGCCAGCTCAGCCTGGTGAGTGCCGTCTCAGCCTGGTGAGTGCCGTCTCAGCCTGGTGAGTGCCGTCTCAGCCTGGTGAGTTCCGTCTCAGCCTGGTGAGTTCCTTTCATCTTTGGTCTCGTTAATCCATGCCTTGTTCTGTCTGTCCCACTCTCTTCCACCATCCACTTCGGCCTTAACCCCCCTCACTCTCTTCCCACCTCTTCCCTCGTCTCCCCCAACCCCCGTCTCCCTCTCCTTCAGGTCTGTTCATGGCAAGTTAGAAAAGCCTGCTCTCCTGTGGCATGTGGCATGTGGCGTGTGGCACACCGTGTGGTGTGGTCACTTGTTCTGTGCTCCCCATCACTTTTGAGGTGCCTCTTTTGAGGTGCCTCTTTTGAGGTGCCTCTTTTGAGGTGCCTCTTTTGAGGTGCCTCTTTTGAGGTGCCACTTTTGAGGTGCCACTTTTGAGGTGCCTCAAAAGCCTGCTCTCCTGTGGCATGTGGCACACCGTGTGGTCACTTGTTCTGTGCTCCTCATCACTCTCGTGTTCCTGTCTCCTGCCCACACCCATCCCCCGAACCCCCCTCCCCCCTCTCTCAGGTCTCTTCATGGCGAGCCAGAAGACTCTGCTCTCCTGCAGCGTGTGGCACGGCGTGCGGTCGCTTGCTTCCCCCTTTCTCGTGACCCCACACTCGACCAACCTCCCTCCTCCTCCCCCCCTTTTCAGGTCTGTTCATGGCCAGCCAAAAGACCCTGCTCTCTTGCGGGGTGTGGCACACCGTGTGGTCATTCTTTCTGCGTCTCCCCTTTCTCCTTCCCCCGCCATCTACCCCCACCAACCCCACCCCCCCCCCCTCCCCCCTCTCTCAGGTCTCTTCATGGCGGGCCAAAAGACCCTGCTCTCCTGCGGGGTGTGGCACACCGTGTGGTCGCTCGCGCTGCGATTCGCCCTCACACCGCTCACCACCGCTCTCTTCGCCTTCCTCTTTGGCATCCGCGGCAAGCTCTTCAGAATCATTGCCATGCAGGTGAGGGGTGCTACGGCATGCAGGTGAGGGTGCAATGGCATGCAGGTAGGGGGTGCTATGGCATGCGCGTGGGATTCTTCTGTTCAATAATGATTCTCACTGGCATGGTGAGCACTCGTCGCCTTCCTCTTTGGCATCCGTGGAAAGCTCTTTCGAATCATAGCCATGCAGGTAGGGGGGGTCGTTGCCATGCCATGCAGGTGGGGCAGAGGGCCATTGTAGAACGTGTTGCTCCTACACTGCTGCTCACTGGAAATGCCAAATAGTCCATCACACCCACACCTATGCAAGAAGCAGCAACAGAGTTCAGGCTTGGGCTCCAGGCATACGTCTCCCATTTTTCCTGCACCACTTTGAGTCGACTCGAAAGCGCTGTTGTTCCTGCACCACCGCTATCAGTCCGCACTGTCACCAGCTATCTTGAGCCTTATGCTTGCCCCACGGCCCTCAACACCCCTCCCCTACTTCCCCCCTTGTCCCCCTCGGTTGATTCCCCATTGTCTCCCCCCTCCCTCAGTCTGTATTGCCCCCAGGGGTGGTGACCTTTGTGCTGGCCAACGAGTACAAGTCCCACACAGCCATTCATAGCTCGTCTCTCCCCTTGTCTCCCGCTTGTCTCTCCCTTGCATCCCACTTGTCATCCCTTTGTTCCCGCCATTCCATGACCCTTCGGCTCCCCCCTCCCTCCGCCAGTCTGCATTGCCCCCAGGGGTGGTGACCTTTGCAACGAGTACAAGTCCCACACAGCCATTCATAGCTCGTCTCTCCCCTTGTCTCCCGCTTGTCTCTCCCTTGCATCCCACTTGTCATCCCTTTGTTCCCGCCATTCCATGACCCTTCGGCTCCCCCCTCCCTCCGCCAGTCCGCATTGCCCCCAGGGGTGGTGACCTTTGTTCTGGCCAACGAGTACAAGTCCCACACAGCCATTCATAGCTCTTCTCTCCCCTTGTCTCCCGCTTGTCTCTCCCTTGCATCCCACTTGTCATCCCTTTGTTCCCGCCATTCCATGACCCTTTGGCTCCCCCCTCCCTCCGCCAGTCTGCATTGCCCCCAGGGATGGTGACCTTTGTTCTGGCCAACGAGTACAAGTCCCACACAGCCATTCATAGCTCGTCTCTCCCCTTGTCTCCCGCTTGTCTCTCCCTTGCATCCCACTTGTCATCCCTTTGTTCCCGCCATTCCATGACCCTTTGGCTCCCCCCTCCCTCCGCCAGTCCGCATTGCCCCCAGGGGTGGTGACCTTTGTTCTGGCCAACGAGTACAAGTCCCACACAGCCATTCATAGCACTGGGTGAGTACAACAAAATACACCGGTACAAAATACACAAGTCCCTCCCTCAGTCTGCATTGCCGCTCTCGGACGTGGTACGTTTGTGTTCAGTTACACAACTTGAAAGAGGAGAAGTCACACGATACCGCACACGGGAGCGAGTGGATAACGAAAGCTAGCGGTCTAGGATTGATACGAGATCACGAGCTCTCGCACCCTTCTGTTCCCTGCTTTCCAGCACCCATGACATCTGCACGCATCCGTCTCATTCACTAGACACGTGTGTTTGGGCATTTTAAACACCACTTGACTTGCTCCAACGCTATTTCATCATCGCATACCCCGTTGTCACCATGAACCACCTTTGATTCTGCCTCGCCTTTCGTCCTAACATTTCTTGCAGGGTTTGCTTTGGGACCTTAATATCCTTCCCCATACTCATGGGCTATTACCTCCTTTTGGGAGAGTGAAGTAACAGTATTGTAAGATGCTGGCTGGCTTGTGCCAAAGTAATGTGTTTCATTATCCATAGTGTAATATATGTTTCATTGGTTGTTATCTTGTAGTCAGCTAATTTTGTTTTTGGGGCCATTGTGATATGGGGAAACCCATAAACCGCAGCAACAGGTGAGGCGACGCTGGCTTGCCCAAAACGAATCAGACCAAGCGCCAGTTTCGCACATGCGAGAACGTGCGACCTTCAACCATCGCACCGCCTTGATTCACCTGTGGAATTGAAAGATTTTACGCGTAACGCGTTACGACCTCAAATTTCGCAGGTCACTTGGACGGTCAGATGAGGCCAGAATTCGCCGTGAGAATGTGCAGTCGGTGTCAGTTGTAACATGTATATGAGGTGTCATTATACGAGTGGTTAATATTCTGAATTGTTCAGTAGACCGTCGCGCGATTCGCGCAGCTGTTTGCGCTTTGGCCGGACTGGGCCTTTTTTTGCCCAAGCTGACGCTGACAGCCGGTCCGAGTGACGCAGAATTTGTCGTCCCTGACGCCAGCTGCAATCCACTGTTGTGCGAAAATCGCACATGCCAGACAAATTCTCTGACCGAACCCATGCCCAGGATGTGGCTCGATAGCCTCGAAATTTATTACGTTTCGGTTCGGCTAAGTCCTGGGACTGTACCTTGGATTCAGCTCAGGGTTCAAAAGTATACATATCGGTCACGAAGTTTCTTCTATGGTTAAGGATGGTGACTTACCCTGTGGTCCAAACCTGGCAAAGCTCGAACCTCCTTTGGGTTTGTAGCCCCAACGAAAATAAAGAATCTAGTGATTGCCCTCACCGCCACACAGTGTCAACCAAACCTCTTTGCCCAGCCTTTATCCGTACCTTCCAAACCTCCAAACAACCAAACCTTCGGTTCGGACGGACCCTGCAAACCTTGGCTTCTCGTCTCTTCCTCCTTTCCTTATCCCCTCCACGTCCCCCATTATCCCTCTCTCCGCTCCATCCAGCCGCCGCTCAGCCATCTTCTAGACGCTTTTCATTGGCACGATTCTTTCTCCGTTCTGCCAAGCATCCTTCTGCCACACTTCGTTCTGCCAAGCATTCTTGCATATGCAACCTCGAATCCGCCATGACGATCTCACCAGCTGACGCGGAAGCGCCGCCGCGACCCGCGGCGGGCTGCTCCTTCATGTGCTGCAAGCGCCACGCCTTCGTTTTCTCGACCTCCATTGGCAGCACCAACTTCAGCGTCTGCGTCGCTTGTGCCGCCTCGCGATGGCTCAAACACACCGTTTTCGCGCTCCCATCGTTCCTCCTCGTGCTGACCGCTTTCTGGGCGATTAACGAGCTCCTGGTCCCCGTGCAATGGCGCTTCGACCTTACTGCGCCTCGCATATTGACTCCTCGCATTCTCGTCCTGATGCTTCTAACGTGTCCTGTGATCTGGCACGAGTGGGTGATTCCACGTGTGAACGCGCGACGCGAGCGGCGCGAAGACCGCCGGAGGGAGCAGCGGCTTGAGAAGGGGATTAAAGAAGCTCGGTTGCGAAAAGAAGCGACGCGGCGCTGTCGCAACTGCACGACTGCGTATCGCGATCAGTCGCCATCGTCGGGGAGGTTCACCTGCGCCGGTTGTGGACACGTGTCGCGCCGTCCGGTGCTCGATCTGCTCGATACAAGCCGTCCCGATAATGCACGAGATCAAAGTCATCAACAGTCATGCGTTGCGGAGTCTAGCCCTCGTCGGCAGCAGCAAGAGCAGCAAGAGAAGCAGCAAGAGCCGCAGCAACAGCAACAGCAACAGCAGGAGCAGCAGCTTTTTTCACTTCCACCAACCAATGAAGAGATTAATAGTAGAAGCAGTGACAGGGCCAATGTAGGGTGCAGCAGACACAACACTAGCGCGCACGAGGCCCGTGCGCACGGTATTAGCGCGCACGAAACTAGCAGTATTCAGGGGACCCTTGGGAATGCCGACGATCGCTCTTCCCGAAGCCACTGGTTGCGCAATATATTTTTCCCCGCCGTTTTCCTCCCCATTGCGGCGGTTTGGCGCGCTATTCTGCAGGCGATGGCGCTTCTTGTTTCCGCCGCGCACTGGTTGCAGCGACAAATCGTAGGCCCGCGCACGGCGGAAGCTAGTGTGCGCGGAGATTCCGCCTCCGCGAGCGTAGACGCTTGCGCGGACAGGGCAGCGCGGGCTCGGCGCAAGTTGGGGATGCGGAAGCTTACGCGGGCGGAGCGGGAAGCGACGGAGGCGGAGGAGCGGAAACAGCGCGAGGAGATTGCGCAAATGGTGGAGGAGCAGCGGAAGGCGCGGGAGCAGGCGGAGGGGACGAATACGGATAAGTGGGAGGTTATCGGGAAAAAGCCCGCGAATGTTGGAAAAGCGGTCGAGGTACCATCAATAACGAGACGGGTTGTAACGAATAAAGAGAACTGCCCGTACAAAGGAAGCCGGTCCCAAAGCGTAGTGAGCGCTAAATCGCTTACAGGGCATACAAAAAGTTTAGGGCAGCCCATTAGCAGCGCGCGCAGGGCGGATTCGAGCAGTGCGCGCACGGCGGAAAAAGCGCCTGTGGGCTCCGCGCAAGCGGGCGTGTTGGGGAAGGGGGGGGTGCGGAGTGGGTTGCCCGCGAGTTGTGATAATAAGGGTTTTGAGGCGCCTGAAAAGTCGGCCGCGGCTTTCGAGAATAAAGGCAGCAGCAGCAGCAGCAGCAGCAGCAGCAGCAGCAGCGTGTGGAATAAGGGGAGCGCTAGCGGATCCACTACCGGCGGCGCCAGCAGCAGCAGCGTCGGCGGCGGCGGCGGTGGTGGCGCGCGGAATAAGGGAACCATTTTGTGCCCAGCGCCCCCGCCGCGCTCTTCTAACGAGTACACTACTTCCCCGATACAAGCCTCTCCGCCCACTCGAGATAATCGCACGTTCTCCCAGGTGGCAAAGAGCAGCAGCAGGAGAAGCAGCGGGGAGCAAGACAAGCAGGGTGGTGTGAAGACGGGAGGGAAAGAAGTTGGACCTTCCATTGTCAGGTTAGGTGATTGGACAGGGAAGGAATGGCCGCAGTGGGATTCTGGTATTGGCACTGGTAGCAGCAGCAGCGACATCGGCAGCAGCAGCAGCAGCAGCGGGGACAGTAGTGGCAGTGGTGCTAGGTTTCCCGAGGCTACAGCCGTCTCTGCTACAGCCGTCTCTGAACCCTCCACAGGGGCGGGTGTTTCTGAAGTGACAGGGACGGCATGCCTGTGGTCGTACCCTGCCATTGCTCCCTTGCTTCATCCCGCTCCTGCTGCTGCCCCTGCTGTCGCTGCAACGGCAGTGTCGCCAGCACCATCAGCCTGCGACTCCTTGCCGTTCGTCTCCTCCTCGTCCTTCCCATCCTCCTCCTCCTCATCTTCCTTCCCATCCTCCTCCTTCACCACTCCTATCAAGCAGCAGCAACAGCAGCAGCAGCAGCAGCAGGGGGAGGAGGCAGTGGCGTGTGGAGGGGAGTGGCAGATGTGGGGTTCCTCTCACCGCCTTGCAGACGCCTTCGCCTTCAAACAACCTGATGCCGCTTCTTCCACCTTCTCTGCCCTTGCGTCCTCCCCTGTTCCTGCCTCTGCTATTTCCCCAGCCCCTGTTACCGCCTCCACTGTTTCCCCCCCCAACTCCTACCTCACTAATCCCTTCGCCCTCCCCTTCTCCTCGCCGTTCTCGCTCGGGTTCTCACCCACTCTCGTGCCCGCCACACCCGTCGACCCAGCACCACTGACAAATAGCCCACTCTATCTGAGCACCCCTGCTGCTGCTCTGCCCGGCTCTGATGTCGGCTCGGTAGAGAGGAGCAGCTTCACCGGATCAAAGAACACTGTTCATGCAGAGAGGCATGCTTTCCCTGGGTCCTGGAGTGCAGGGGGGGTGGCTTCTGAGTCGAGTCAGCAGTTACCTCGTTTTCCTGGGTCGTGGAGTGCTGGGGGCCAAGATTTTACTGGGTTCGGCGATGCGCTAAAGAGTAACGCGTTTAGAGCAGCGATTCGCGGCGGCAGCAGTGGAGTGGGCGGGGGGGCGGGCGGCGGAGGGATGCGGGCGGCGTGGATGGCGGAGATGTGGGACGAGGACGTGCCGCCCGCTTTCGTGGATTGCATCACGCAGGAGATCATGCGCGACCCGGTGATCACAGCCGACGGGCACTCGTACGAACGCGCTGCCATCGAGAAATGGCTCATGTGAGTGCGGGGGTGTGTGGAGGGATTGTGTGTTTTTTGGGATGGAGGGAGGGGCAGCACGCAGCGCATGAGAGGAGATCATGCGGGATCCAGTGATCACAGCCGGTGAGCACTCCTACGAACGGGCTGCCATCGAGAAGTGGCTGATGTGAGTGTGTGCGAGGAGGGGAGAGAGAAAGTTGGGGGTGCATCTGCGGGTGTGCGTGGGAGGGTTGTGCGTGTGGGAGGGAGGGAGGGAGGGAGGGAGGGAGGGAGGGAGGGAGGGAGGGAGGGAGGGAGGGAGGGAGGGAGGGAGGGAGGGAGGGAGGGAGGGTAGTATGCAGGAGATCATGTGGGATCCAGTGATCACAGCCGATGGGCACTCGTATGAACGTGCTGCCATCGATAAATGGCTCATGTGAGTGTGTGGGGGAAAGACAGGGGAGGGAGGATGACGGCGTGGTGTGGCTGTGGCTGTGGTTGTGGTTGTGGTTGTGGCTGGGGCTGGGGCTGTGGCTGTGAGGGAAAGAGACGGAGGTCTAAAACACAACTCTTGCCTTTCAATCCCGTCCCCACCTGCAGGCACCACGACACGAGCCCCATGACAGGCAAAGTACTGCCTCCTCTACATGCTACAGGTGCCACTGCTGCCACAACTGCTACAGCTGCTACAGCTGCCACAGCTACAGCTGCTACTCCATCTGCTGTGCTTTTCCATGAGGACTCCTCTGCTCCCTGCCTTGCCGGCTGCAGCTGCAAGCACAGCGGCGGCTGCATGGGCCGAGGCCGGTGCAGTGGGGTGGGGAGCGGTGACTGGTGTGTTGGGAGCGGTGGTGAGGGGTGCAGCGGGAATTGCATGGTTGACAAGACACTGCGGCCGAACCACATCCTGCGCGGGCAGATCATCGAGTTTCAGGAGATGATGGCGCTGCAGTGAGTTCCCTGCTTGGCTGTGCAGCAGTATTTTGCAATGTGGTGTGCTGTGTGCTGTGTGGTTGACTTGACTCGACTGCTCTTGAACATCCTGCATGGCGTGGCAGATCATCGAGTTTCAGGAGATGATGGCGCTGCAGTGAGTTCCCTGTTTGACTGTGCTGCTGTGTTCTGCAATGTTCTGCAATGGGGTATGCTGTGTGCTTGACTCTGCGCGGGCAGATCGTCGAACTCCAAGAATTGATGGCCATGCAGTGAGTTCCTTGTATGACTGTGCTGCTGTGTTCTGCAATGTGGTATGCTTTGTGCTGTGTGCTGTGTGCTTGACTGCTCTTTAACATCCTGCGCGGGCAGATTATCGAGTTTCAGGAGATGATGGCGCTGCAGTGAGTTGGCTGGCTGTGTCACTCGTTGACTGTGCTGTGCTGTGCTGTGCTGTGTGCTTGGCTGTAGTAGGGTTTGGGTTTAGGGCGATATGGGTTGTGGGCAGATCATTGAGTTCCAGGAGATGATGGCACTGCTGTGAGTTGCTTCGAATATATTCAAGGTTTGTTGGCTTCCGTGCCTTGCCGTACCGTGCCGTGCCGTGCCGTGCCGTGCCGTGCCGTGCCGTGCCGTGCCGTGCCGTGCCGTGCTGCTGTGCTGTGCCGTGCCGTGCCGTGCCGTGCCGTGCCGTGCCGTGCCGTGCCGTGCCGTGCCGTGCCGTGCCGTGCTGCTGTGCTGTGCCTTGCCGTGGCGTGCTTTATTTTGATGCGTGTGACTGATTCTTTTGCCCCTCTCTGCTCGTCCCTGCTTGACTCTGTGCGTGTGGCTGGCAGGGCAAGGGAGCGCACAGCAGCAGCACCCCCCACACGTGCTGCAGCTGCATTTACCACCTAGGGCTGCATCCATTGCACCTGCTGCTGCAGCATCCATACTACTGAGTTACTCTTCGGAATTCCCATTAGACCAAGTACCGGTAGGTAGGTACCATGCTGGAGTGGAGACACCAAGGACTGCCCTGTAACAATTGATGGAGTGATTACCATATGATGTCCTTCTGTTCCAAAGATGTGTTGTTCTGCTATGGTGGTTCAATAGGAGAGAAGGAAAGGAAGAAAGAAATAGCACTCAGGATGCAGCAGAGAGAGTGCACACACATTGCACAAGAAGGAGCCTCACGCATCGCAGTAGGTGAGGAAAGTTGGGGTGAAATATGATATGGTAGAAACACAATTGGGCTGTGGTTGGATTCTGAAAACTTGTGTGTAGACAGCAAATATAATTTATGGAAACGAAACCCATACAAAAGTATGTTATAAAAAGACATCACTTCACCGGTTTCTACATGAAGCTCACCTCCCTCGCCCTCCATGTGTCTACCTACCCGGGTATGTAGCGTGTGGGAAAGGGAGACTTTCGACATGATACCGTCTCAAGCTAATTTATACATGGTGCCAAAGCACTGTATTGAACCAGATATGGTAGCAATGGTGCAAAGCATCCATATATTATAAGGGGTCATACCATACACCATACACCATACACCCTATGCTAGCTAGTTATACACACAGCGCCCACTCCTGCTGGTAGCTTGGACACCAGGGGTACCAGTAGCTGCACCCTCACCCCCATCATCCGCACCTTCCTCGTTATCTTCCTCCCCTCCCCCACCACCAACAGCACCCCGCAGCCTTCTTCTGTTACTATCACCTTCGCCGTCACTGCCGCCTTCACTGCCACGACCACCGCTGCTGCTGCTGCTGCTGCTCCTGCTCCTGCTGCTGCTGCTGGTGCTGCCACTGCTGCTGCTGCTGCCACCACACTTCCCCAGAAGCCAATCCATCATGGCATGCCCGTGCTCACTCGTCATCTCATGGAAGGCAAATGCTACGTTCAACTCCTCCTCTATCGCCCCCTCCATCGCCTCACTGCCCCCACCCTCTCCCCCCCCACCTTCTCCCCCCCCACTCTCACCGCTTTCCTCCCCTCCACCTGCACCTTCCTCCTCCTCATCCCCCTCTCCTCCTCCTTCTCCTCCTGTTCCTTTCCCCGCCCCGGAGTACTTACTCCCCCGTTCTAGTTCCTCCATCACCCCCTCTTTCTGCAACACAGCAATCCATCCCGACCGCCTTCCATCCCTCACCATCCTCCCATCCTCCCCCACCACTCCTCCCCGCTTCAACGCCTGGAAAATCCTCTCCGAAGCTGCCGGGGTTAGGTTCGGTATCCGGTCCGACAGGAAGCTCGTCCTGAGCCTCTTCTCCAGGCACGGGATCTGCCCAGCCTCCGAGCCTTTCGATCGGAGAAATTCAACCGCCCGTTCGACCGCCTCGGCGCGCTGCTCGTCTTTTGGCATGTGGACAAAGAGGGCCGGCGGGAACTGCCGCCCGGAGGGCAGCGGCGAGTCAAAAGCCTTCTTGACTCCACTGGAGATGATTATAACGAGGGCTTGCAGGTCAATGGAGTGTGCTAGTAACGAAATGAAGTATCCACCGGAAGAGGCGCCGAGGGCGAAGAGAGGGAGGGTGTGCAGGTGGTGCTGCTGGCGCCAGGTGGTGAGAACTTGTACCACTGGAGGAATGTCCAGGGAGCGTTCAGGTGGGAATGAGGTATCCCAACAGGTGGACAGGCTGGGGGGCGGGGGTGTAAGGGCGGCGGGTAGGGGAAGGGAGGGTGAGGGGGGAAGTTGGGTAGAGTGAGCGGCAGGTGGTGCTGCTGGCGCCAGGTGGTGAGAACTTGTACCACTGGGGGAATGTCCAGGGAGCGTTCAGGTGGGAAGGAGGTATCCCAACAGGTGGACAGGCTGGGGGATGGGGGGTTAAGGGTAGAGGGGAGGGAGGGAAGACGGGGAGAGTGAACAGCAGTAGCTGGCGCCAGGTGGTGAGAACCTGGACGACTGGGGGAATGTCAAGCGAACGATCGGGTGGGAAGGACGTATCCCAACAGGTGGAAAGGCTGGGGGAAGGAGGGGTAAGGGTAGAGGGGAAGGGAGGGTTTGGGGGGGAGATGGGGAGAGTGAACAGCAGTAGCTGGCGCCAGGTGGTGAGAACCTGGACGACTGGGGGAATTTCCAGAGAGGGATAGGGAGGGAAGGACGTATCCCAACAGGTGGAAAGGCTGGGGGGTAGGTAAGGGCAGAAAGGGGAGTGGGGGGGGGGGAGAAGCGGGGGAGGGAAGAAGGCCTTTTGAGGTGTGTCGAAACTTGGACGACCGGGGGAATGTCCAGAGAACCGGCGGGTAGATTGAAATCACTTTTGAGAATTCTCTTTTGAAAAGTGATTTCAATATAGTCGAAACAGCAGTAACTTGGACGACCGGGGGAATGTCCAGAGAGCAGGCGGGTAGGACGGACGTATTCCAACAGGTGGAGAGGCTGGGGGGAGGAGGGGTAAGGGTAGAGGGGACGGGAGGGTTTGGGGGGGAGATGGGGAGAGTGAACAGCAGTAACTTGGACGACCGGGGGAGTGTCCAGAGAGCCGGCGGGTGGGACGGAGGTATCCCAACAGGTGGAGAGGCTGGGGGACTGGGGTTAAGGGTAGAGGGGAGGGGGGAAGGTTGGGTAGCCTGAGGGGCGGTTGCATGTAACAGGTGGCAATGGCAAGCCTACCTGGAAATAGAAATCACAGCGAGACATCTAGGTGACTTTGGAGTCGACTCAAAAGTCACCGCATGTAACAGGTGGCAACGCCAAGCCTACCTGGAAATAGAAATCACTGCGAGTCATCTAGGTGACTTTGGAGTCGACTCAAAAGTCACCGCATGTAACAGGTGGCAACGCCAAGCCTACCTGGAAATAGAAATCACTGCGAGTCATCTAGGTGACTTTGGAGTCGACTCAAAAGTCACCGCATGTAACAGGTGGCAACGCCAAGCCTACCTGGAAATAGAAATCACAGCGAGTCATCTAGGTGACTTTGGAGTCGACTCAAAAGTCACCGCATGTAACAGGTGGCAACGCCAAGCCTACCTGGAAATAGAAATCACAGCGAGTCATCTAGGTGACTTTGGAGTCGACTCAAAAGTCACCGCATGTAACAGGTGGCAACGCCAAGCCTACCTGGAAATAGAAATCACAGCGAGTCATCTAGGTGACTTTGGAGTCGACTCAAA